GCAAGAGCCTGGAAGTTTCCCTGTAGGGAAACAGGCTGGGGCCTGTAGGCCCTGTCAGAAGGAAGCTTCCAGGCAAGAGCCTGGAAGTTTCCCTGTAGGGAAACAGGCTGGAGGTCCGGGACGGGCCCTGCAGGGCCCGTGTGGCTGCACAGTATGCCACACTCCCCCTGTTCAGAACCTCTTGCGTACAAGGCCGCCCACGTATATTGTCACACTGAATCGGAGCGCACTCCAAGTCTGACAGTGAACATGATGGCCAACGACAGGAACACATTCCAAGTCTGACAGTGAACACGGATGGAGTTGGTAAAAGGCCTGTATGCACTCATTCCGGACGCATATCCAACCAGTTTCTGGGGGAAAAGTCGTAGTTGGAAACTTCCGAAGTTGAGCCACGTGGAAGATGAAAACGAAGACCATGGCAAAGGGAAGGAGGACTGAGGAGGAAAAGGAGGACGATGGTGGAGGGGAGGAGAGGAAAGAGGAAGGTGGACGGAGTTAGACAGAAGAGCAGAGGAGGCTTATCGATTACCATACAGGAAAGAGAAAGACGAAAGACCAGGGGAAGGGAACAGCCAAATATAACAAAACAGGTGGCAACAAAACAGATCCTAGATGACAAGTCCCACATGCAAGCACCGCCCCCAACTTCACAGGCCAAATGATGGGACAAGACCAACCAGGATGTCAAAACACTCTTGTCTGCAAAAATATCAAAAAGAAGTTCCAGATACATATCTACATACACCAGATGGCCTTGTTCGTCATCAAGATATTGGTATTCCTATTCCAAAACCATTCGTRCCGGGACTAAAAGACAATCCSAGATGATGATTCCCACATAAAAGCACCGCATCCTTCATAGGCCGAACAACGGGAAACAACCAGGATGTCAAAACACTCTTGTCTGCAAAAACATCAAAAAGAAGTGCCAGATACATAGGGAAGGGTTTAAACAAAGCATAGAACGGCAGGGGAATATCGACACAGTGGTAACTTTCGTGTCATATCGGCTAACCCCGAACACAAAAAACAATCAGTTGACACCAAATACAACTGACTCCAGCTTAGCCAACCCCTTGTGTGTTCTATGTGTGTGTGCTGTGTGCTCTATGTGCATGTGTTGTGTGTGTGCTATGTGTGTGCTATGTATGTGCTATGTAAGTGCTATGTGTGTGCTGTGTTTATGCTATGTGTCAGTGCCATGTGTGAGTGTTACGTGTGTGCTACATGTTTGTTATGTATGTGTGCAATCTGTGTGCTGTCTGTATGCTGTATGTGAGTGATGTGTGTGTGCTGTGTGTGTGTTCAGTGGTGCTATGTGTGTGTACTATGTGTGGCTATGTGTGTGTGCTATGTCTGTGGTATGTGTGTTGACTGTGTGCTATGTGCATGTGCTAAGTGTGTGCTATCTGTACACGTGCTGTATGCGTGCTGTATGCGTGAGTGTGGATGGTGTGTGTGTGCTATGTGTGCTATGAGTGTGGTATGCATGCTGTGTGTGCTGGATGGATGCTGTGTGTGGTGTGTACGTGTTGTATGCGTGTTGTGTGTCTTGTGTGCATGCTGTGTGCATGCTGCATGTGTGCTGTGTGCGTGCTGTGTGGGTACGGTGTGTGTGCTCTGTGTGTCCTGTGTGTATCCTATGCGTGCTATATCTGTGTGCTATCTGTGTGCTATCTGTGTGCTACAGTGTGTGTGCTCTGTGTGTCCTGTGTGTGTGCTATGCGTGCTATATCTGTGTGCTATCTGTGTGCTATCTGTGTGCTACGGTGTGTGTGCTCTGTGTGTCCTGTGTGTGTGCTATGCGTGCTATATCTGTGTGCTATCTGTGTGCTATGTGTGTGCTGCGTGTGTGCTATATGTCTGCGATATGCATGTGCTGCGACGATATATACAGAGAGAGAGAGAGAGAGAGAGAGAGAGAGAGATGCGCACATGTGTATATGTCTGTAATGGCTTCTTTCAGCCTAGGCCCACGATTCTGTGTATCCCCCACTGTACCGCCTTTCTGACCTTTACCTCTTTCGACCGACGTGCCCTCCCTCTAGCACTCCTACGAGGCAGTCGGAAGTCCTCGATTCGAAGTTCGACAGCCGCCTCCACACACACACACACACACACACACACACACACACACACACTCCAATCCGAAGAATGAATAGCATCCAAAAGACCGACGGCACACACACACACACACACACACACACACACATACAAAAAAAAAAAAAAAAAAAAAAGACGGGTAGCCGACGGAAAGCGCTCGGAAGTGAACGAGCAGAGGATGAGATAGATGCATACTACAAAGAAGATATGACAGGTCAGGGGCTTTGGAAGGATGACACGCACAAATCGAGAGCGACAGGATGAGACATGCATACTACAAATCGAAAAAAAATCCTAGATCAGTGCGTACGACTGAAAGAAGACACGACAGAAGCTTAGTGACAGAAAAAAAAAAGGGAGGATGAGATAGATGCATACTACAAATCGAAAACAAATGCTAGATCAGTTTTTTTAACCAGGGGCCTTGGAAGGAAGAGAGAGAGAGAGAGAGAGAGAGAGAGAGAGAGAGAGAGAGATTAACAAAGTGGGAAGATAAAGAAAGCACGGACTTAAAAACGGAAGAAAGGAAGACAAGAAAATTAAGAAAAAACTGCATCTGCTGAAAGGAGATGGAAAGGCATACGGCGGAAGCTGTGAAGCAGAGCAGCGAAGGAGGGTGAAGCACCCACAAGAGGGCGTGATAAGTCTCAAGGCTTGTAATAAACGAAGGGCGGAAACACCCTCAAAGTGACAAAACCTGATGAAGACAAACATGACACAGAGGAATCCAGTGTGCAAAGCCAAAAAACAGAAAGAAAAAACAAAAACAAAAAACAAAGGGTCCAGTTTTTTTTTTAGCTTAAAAAAAAAAAAAAGGTCCAGTTTTTTCTTAAGAAAAAAGAAAAGAAAATAAAAGAAACGAAAAAAAATGCTAGAGCAGTGGGTACGACTGAAAGAAGACATGACAGAAAAGAAAAACAACTTTGGGGCCCGTCAGTTGAACGATGATATCTCACGGCTTTCGCCCTTTCACAAGTCAGGGGAAAAAAAAAAAAAAAAAAGCTTCGAGGCTAAGCGATGAGATGAAGAACTCTGACAAACGGTAGGCAATACCTGACGAGAACGGGGTTTCAACGTGCACGTGCACTTGTAATGTAACACAGGCCCGTCCAACCACATCGGAATCGGCAAGCGGGTTCGTCAACGTGTGAGTGGAAGAGTCAGTGGCCAGTGCTCTTCAACCTGGCCTTGCTCCGCAGGTTGCTGAGGCGTGCGCTGAAGCTTTACTATGATTTAGGTTCAGAGGAGTAATCTATGTCTCCTCCGTCGGCAGGCATCCAATTCCGAGGTCTGCCATGGAGGATTTAACGACGACGACCGGAGCGCTCGTTGCCGGTCTCCTTGTGGCCGTGCTTTGTCTGTTGGGGCTGAGCTGGTCCAGACCGAGTGTGCGCGCTGGACAGCCAGAAGAAGAGGTGAGTGTTTGTTTCTTTTCTCTCTTCCCTCTTCCTCCCTTCCCCCCCGTTTCTATCGTCCGCGCGCACGTGCTCGTGTGTGTGTGTGTGTGTGTGTGTGAGCGAGTTGGCTAAACAAAACACCCCACTGAAAGCAGGACTGAGTGAGAGAGAGAGTTTCGTCGGACTTCAACCGACTTCTCAAGAGTTCGAATCTCCTCAAGAGTCTGTTGAGGATGAACTTGACTGATGTCTGCGTACACACCAGCTCGCCCAAAGCTAGCGATCCCGGTGTGTGTGTGTGTGTGTGTGTGTGTGTGTGAGAGAGAGAGAGAGAGAGAGAGACAGAGAGAGAGAGAGATGATAAGCCACACTAGAATTGAGGACACTACTACTACTACTCTTCTGTTTGCGTGCCTAGCAGAGCATGAAGAATTGAGTGAAAAACTAAAAATTGAAGATCGGTGAATAATTGAGAGAAGGCTTGCGACGACTCGAGTGAAAACGAGTTTGAAGACTGAAATGAAGAACCTAATACTATTGATCTGAGAGAGAGGGATGTGTCGAGTCGTATGTTTGTCTCTTCCTTCCTTCAACCCTCCAAGCTGAATGAGATATGAACTCACCTTCAGCACAATCAGTGCTCTACACTTGCTTGTTCACACACTGCAGGCAGATCCCGTAGTCGTCGCCTTGCATTACCAAGTCAGTTCTCTCTCTCTCTCGCTCTCTCTCTCTCTCTCTCTCTCTCTCTCTCTCTCTCTCTCTCTCTCTCTCTCTCTCTCTCTCTCTCTCTCTCTCTCTCTCTCTCTCTCNCACACACACACACACACACACACACACACACACACACACACACACACACACACACACACAGGTCGCTGAAAAAATTGAACCCCCCCCTTCTTCAATGCGCTGGGGTCGCCCGGTGGCCAACCGTCCGGGACAAGCGACCAGGCAGACCGCCCCCCCCCCAAGCGACGACCAGGTCGCCGGGCGGCCCGGGGACCAGCCTAGAAAAATAAACATAAAAAAAAATTGCTGCGTTCGTGCTTTCTTCGCAAGACCATAGCGTCAGAACACCCTGTCACCAACCTACAGAAAATGAATAGGCACTATTAGGCAGCAAATTTCAGCAAAAAGAAAAGACGATTTAAGACATCAAAATCGTAGTTGCTTGGGAGATTTCATGTACTCTACAATGAAAGTTCCTGTCAGTGGAGTAAAAAGGTTAAACCACCAGTTCACCCAGGCGCATTTCGACGAACCTATCATTTCAATTTTCCGAGCCTCTAAGAGACCGGTACGCGCCTCTGAAAAAATAAACATGGTACTGGCCTCTCGAGAAATAAACCACCATCACCTCTGGACCTGACCTGCCCAGACTAACGAGGCCTGGTACTGAACCTGGTTCCGGGAGTTCAGCAGAGAAGGGAAAATCCAGACCTCACCCCCGCCCTGGTGGTTTATGATTTACATGATGCTGAAGAGGGAGGAAGGAAGACAGGGGAGAACAGGGGGAGAAAGGCAAGTGGACAGAGGTCCACATTTCGTACCTACCGAGAGATAAAGGTGACGATCCCCTCATATCCAGTGCTCCCATGATTGTAGCTCAGCTTGATGACAGTAGCTGTGCATGCCTTCATGCCACTCGTTGGGACAATGGTGTCGTTCAGCAAAGCATTTATAAGCGTACTCTTCCCTGTTACACATTCCGCGTCAGCCGCAGCAGGAGCAGTCATCAGGCACATCCTCATTACCACAGTCCGATGCATCAATAGTCAGTCACGTAGGAAGGTGTACCGATGGGACCAATTGTCCAAGGCATCAACAGTCAGTCACGTAGGGTGCACCGGAATGTGCAATTCTGACCAATGCAGCTGTGGTAACTGTTTCTCTAAGTTCTCTCTCTCTCTCTCTCTCTCTCTCTCTCTCTCTCTCTCTCTCTCTCTCTCTCTCTCTCTCTCTCTGTGTGTGTGTGGCTGTCCCCTGGAGATGGTCGATCCGAGAGACACCCTGACGATGTAGAGAAAAAGCCGTACCTACGGCCTATAGCGGTGGCAAATAGGAGACGTTCCCTCGAGTAGTACACAGAGCTGGGGGCGATGGCGATGCCCGTGAGCGGTACTGTCGACCTTGAAAATGTCAACGCTGCTATCTCCCTCGAAAATGTCGACGCCGCTATCTCCCCCGCGTCTTCCGCCCCGCATCCCCCGCTGCTGACTGAAGGCACGCGTCAATGTCTTCACAAACAACGTCCGTTCCATGACCTACGTCGGCCTACTACCCTGGAGAACGTGGAGTGGCCAACGGGTCTACCTCAAGGCATACTGACACTGCCACTTTTTGCACGTCTCACCCTGTGAACGCGATTACTGTCAGGTACGTGTAGGCGGGATTGGAGGATTGGAAAATGTCAGTGTGAATGGGGAAGCTCAGTCCCACTACAAAATTAACCGCCAAAATCTGGACTCATTTTAGGCAGAAACTCCTTTTTTCTTTTTTCTTTTTTTTTTTCCCCCTCGGTTTTGGTGCCAACGAACTATGATAGTCCTCTGGATGGCCGTCCCGTCCAGATTCGACAGGTAATTGAATTGGTGAAAAAAAAAAAAAAAAGTCCTCTGGATCATCCAGAGGCCGAGCTCAGTTGGTAAGGCACGCAAGTGGCATTCAGGAGGTCTTGAGTTCAATCCCCGTTGGCCTCATCTACCTTCTTGGGCATGCTTGTCGCCCACCAACTAGAGATCCAAAAGCAGTCTCTGCTGATGTTCATAGGGGGAGGGGTAATCGGGGAGGCACAGCGACTGGCCACTCAGATGATGCTCGGTCCCTCTGCTACCCGCTGTCCCCTGGCCGGTGTCCCCTATTGGGGGTTCCCTGAAGGCAATCAAGGCCACCCTGGGCTGAAAAGGCCACCCGATGTCAGATTAGACACAATATTGAATTTACCTGGGCTGGTTAGTCCAATGATAATACCTGAAGGCCATCGCCATTTAAAAAAAAA